ACCCCCGCCTCTTCGTTCTGCCCCCGTCTCCACCTCCACCTCCTCCTGCTCTTTCTGCATCCGTCTCCTGTCATGCTGCCTCCTGCTGCTGCTGCTGCCCCCCGCTGCCTTCTGCCGCCTCATTTATCCATCCTCCTAGTGCCCTGTGCTCCGTTTCTGTGTTTCTTCTGATCTTGGCCCCTAGGAAGTGCTGGCGGAGTGGCAAGCCCTCGGCCATAAGCAGGCTGTGCACAGGCAGATAGCAGCGAACCTCGCTTCGGAGGCTATCATTGCTCGGCCACTCGGTCCAGCGTCGATTGCCGGCGTGGAGCCGACGCCGCCTGATCCTTCCAGCGCGGCTGGAGTGATCGCTGCGGCTGGCACAGGCGGCGCCATCTGCCCATGTCGCGGCGCCGCTGAGCACGAGTGCCAGAAACCGACGCCGCCATCATTGTGCCCCCACGTCGGTCACCGACGCCCAGACACGTTGTCCATCTTCGATGAGGACTGCGCAGAATCAGCCAAGGCCAGTCAATACCATCTCGCGACCTCCACCATAGCGCAGCACCGGGAGCACTGCAAGGAACCCTTGCTTAAGATCTCTATCAGAGATCTTAAGCAAGGCAGCGGTTGCGCAGTGCAACAAGCGCTGTGGTTCGTCGTGCAAGAATAGCGAGGTTGTCGCAGATCTAACTCTGAAGCGGCATGCGAACACACTCAAAGCACTGTGCACCATTGCAAGGTTGCTTGGGACATGCGACATGGCGTGCAACGCAGACCTCGCGCTTGTGTTCTCTGCCCGCGTCGGCGGCACCACCAAGTACACGTTCGCTTGGACGCGCGAGTGCGATGGGCGCTCTGGTCGCAAGCCTGCCCATCAGACCTTCGCTTTGCAAGAACAAGTAAGTCCAACCGCTCCTCCAGGCGATCTCGCAGGAATCGAACTGAGTTAGTCACGAACTGCGATGGTGGATGCGGTTGGGAAGTTCAGGCCGCCGCTTCTTCGACAGCACGTTGGGCCCATTCACTTCATGTCGGAGGACGAGCTGGCCAGCCACTTGCCGGGGGAGTGCCCTGACCTGAAGCGCCTCGACATTCGGCGCGTTCTCATCGACGACATCGCATTGGATGTGATGCACACGTGTCTGTGTGACCCAGCGTTCGAGACTGCGCCTGTTGCGGTCGAAGCTGTCGCCCTTGCCTCGGGGGGGCGGGGCTGGTCGGGGAAGAGGCGGCGGCGGCAAAGGCAAGGGTCGCGGGGCGGGCAGAGGCGCAGCTACCGACATGTCGCTTCTGTTGGATTCGCCCAAGCGCGAGACGACACACGTCGCGCAGCCCGTGCTTGCCGACGTCGACGACGTGGACGACGGGGCGATGAAGACGATTCTGCCGATCGCGAAGGCATGGGAATTTTCCGAATCGCATCGATTACCTTCCGGGCAGTGCGCTTCCGAGATGAGCAGCAAGATGGGCCAATACATATGAGAAGCGCGCGCGCGCTGCGCCCCACCTTGCCAAAAAAACAAAACAAAAAATGGAGGACGATAAGAAGTTGGAAGGCGGAGGAGGCACAGGAGGGGGGGGGGGGGGGAGGGCGCGAGCGAAGTAAAGAGACAGGGAGGGAGAGTGAGAAAGAAAGAGGGAGAGGGAGGCAGGAGAAGAATGAAAATGCGACAGGATCTCGAAATGGGAACGACGACATGTTTGCACATCGCCACGGGTTCCAGCAAGTATGACACCGTCTTCGTCAGACCAGCGCTCCTGCGCACGGCACTTCCACGCTGACCCGCCTCGCGCAGTCGAAACTGCCAGACCCCGGGCCTGCGATGACCCTGCCCCAGGATCTGGCAGCTCAGGTCGCACGTCGTGGCCAATATGGAATGCACCCTTCAGGCCTGAGTATATCCAAGAGCTTCGGGTGATCATAGAGCTCCTGAATATCGAAGTCGTTCACATAGGTATCACCGCCCAGCTCGCCCTGGTCTCTGCCATTCTCTCTCGTGGATGTTCGTTTTTGTGATTTCGGGCGATGGTGGCTAGCAATAAAGCGGATGACTTCGACCGAGCACTCCCTCGCGCCATCAAGAAGAACGGGGCCCACGTCAGCCCCCCCCCCCCCCCCCTCCAATCGCCAACGATTCAGTCTCCATCAATACTACGCGCAACTGCTGAGCCATCTTCGCGAAATATGCGGACTTGCTGAACGACAATCCAAGATTGCACGAACGCGCGGGAACCTTACCAGCCACCGCTGCGAGAACACTGCACTCAATAAGACTGGTACCATGAAGGCGGCATACAAACATTCGGGGATTGAAACTAAGGCAAACTTGGGCCCTGGACCTTTCAGGAACCTTCAAGGACAGCCTCGGACCTATCTAGCCCCGAATCCAAATGACCCAGGACCCTCCCCTCCCCTTCCCAATGCCCCCCACCCCTCCTCCCCGATCCCCGCCCCCCCTGCATCCAATCATTGTAGGCGCTTCGGGGGTCGGGGATAAAAATGGGGACGGTCTGCTCTGAAATCTAATGGTGAGGGATTGTTTGGGAGCTGACCGTGCCGCCTGCAATCGAGAAGTAGCTTGTCGCGGTTCAGATCCAGCAAGTGCGCCCAGATCATCTCGTTCGGCGAGGCTCCATCCACCTCCAAGATTGAAATGGCACGGCCCGTCAGCGAACGTGGTAAACCCAGCGCTGCAACACTGGCGTATAGGCTTTGTGTCTGAATAAAGGTGTGAAGATATGTGGAGCACTCGGCGCCGTGAGGATCAAGTCTGGCAGACCCACGTCATGCTTTACAACAGTCTCGCCCATCCCAGCAGTGCCCGTCCACCCGATATGAAGAGAAAGCCGCTCCACGCAAATGTGCCAAGCGTTTCGCGCCCCTGCAGCATCATCCAACGTTCCAGGCACAGGGACGGTCAGCTTCTCGCTGGTCTCGTCGAAAGCGAGCCCCGAAATCACAAACGAAGTTTTCATGTGCTGACATGTCTGGCCAACTGTCCCAAGCCGCGGTGCTGATTATGTAGAAAAGCTGCGGCGGTCACGCGCCGCATGATCTGAACCGATTTCAAAGACATGCCTTTCAGAGCAGCCAAGATAGCTGGGCGATTCCCAAAGTCGCATGCGACCTCGAGCACGCCGTCCATGGAGAAGGGTCTACTCTCAGCGCGTGTCGGGCCATCCTTCGTGCAATGTCAAATGCAAAGGCGAAGTGGGCTGCCCCGACACCTGGCCAACTTGAAGTGCTTGACGACTGATATGAAGGCCCATCGTTTCAGGCGGGGTCTCAAGGTAACGTCGAAGGTGACGACATGCACCAGCGTAACTCTCTTCTGGTTTCCCAAGGCCCTCCACGTTCGCTGTTCTCGAACGTAGTGCATAAGTTTCTCCCTCTCGTCCGTGGTGCCGTGCCTGCCCTTCCCGAAAAATCCCTTCCTGCTCGGACCAGCTCGATCAAGGATCTGGTGGTGTGCTGCAGGCGGTAGTGGCTGCGGTACTGGTGGTGCTGGAGCGGCTAGCGGCCGCATCAGGTGATCGTTCGGCTCGAAGGCGACGATATCCATGAAGTCCATCGCGGGAAGCGGCACTGGTCCCACTGCTGGTACCACCTCTGAAGTACGAGCCGCATCGTCCATCGAAACATCTGACAAAATGCCGAATAAGTCCATGTGCTGATGCACCTGAGTCGCGAGTCCGCGAGAAGGCCTAATGGCCAGAGCCCAACTGGCTATGGATGAGGAGGGAGGGTCTGAGGAACTTTGACACGCAATGAAGCGAATGGAGAGAGAGAAAGAGAGTTAGAGTGAGACTGGCCAAGTTAAGGACTGGACAAAGGGTAATACGATAAAAGGTTTCAGGGAGGAGAGAGGACGTGGGGGAGAGGAGGACGACCATCAGGGCGCAAGGCGCAAGACACCTTTGTCCCTTTGTCCTTTTGGCATACTGCCGCTTACATCAACGGCTGTGTAAACTTCCAGGCCCGACAAGGCCAGATTGGCTTAGGGAGGGAAATTGATGGGTCAAAATTCTGGCCCGAAAGGGCCACATGCAGGCCCAATTTCGGGCCCGAATGAGCCAAATTGGGGGCCCGGAAGGGCCACATGCAGTCCCAAGTCTGGGCCCAAGAAGGCCACATGTAGGTCCAATGTTGGGTCCAAGTGGGCCACCTGCGGGCCGAGATTCGGCTCCGCAATTGTCAGAAACATGGCCCCCTTAGGCGCCGTTTACCCCACCAAAACACTAGTATTCAGAGAGTGCCCGAAAGCGTGGGACAGTCACACTCTCAACCCAGTGGATGGCGAGATGAAGAAGACGGGGATAGGAAACGGGGGGGATGCGAAGAGGAGGAGGAGGAGGAGGAGGAGCAGGAGCAGGAGCAGGAGCAGGAGCAGGAGGAGGAGCAGGAGGAGGAGGAGGAGGAGGAGGAGGAGGAGGAGGAGGAGGAGGAGGAGAGGGGGGACCGTGTGAGGAAAGGGGCAACCACCAGGGCGGCTCGGCGCAGGACAGGAGGCGAGCAGACCGCGCGCGCATCAGACGGCGCGCGTGCGGCCCCGATCACTGCGAGGTGCGACCACACTCGCGCCGGTTCGCAAGCACGACCTCAGACTGCAGGCTGCGGCTGCTTCTGGACGAGCGGCTGCTTCTCCCCCGCGGCCTTCCCCGCCCTGGCCGCGCCGCTGGGCCGCGAGTTCGAATAACAGATGCCTCCCATGACCGCGACACACGCACTGGCAACAGAGGACGGCGTGAGCGGCGTCGTGCTGAGGCAGAAAGCCTCGAGGAATCCGCCGGCCCCCTTGCGAGGCCACCAGGCTGCAGGCCGAAGCGCGCTGCTCCCTGCAACGGTTGCAATTTTGAGTCTGCAACGTTCGTCTTGCTTTCTGCTTCCGACTGTAAACTTTCGACGTGCCAGGGGTGGGCCCAAAAGGATCAAATTTACCACGCCTGGATCGCGCTCTCTGGATTCAAGGCGGGGCGGGGGACACTTAAACGTACATGAGATTTGCACCCTCGAGGACATAACCCCTTGTAAATTGTTCCACATTCGCGTCCCCGAAGCCACGAACCCTTGTAAAATCTTGACGCCTTGAGTATCCCACCAGCCCATCCAGAAACGATCAGCAGGGGAGTTGGTAAATCAGGGACGGCTGGAAGCATGCAGTTGCGCGGCCGTCTTCAGAAACACAAGGATCACAAATAGCTTCCCGCATTGAAGTTTAAAATGGAAATCAATGCAAGATACGACGTGGTGCTCCTCGTGGTAAACGTCTCTAGCGCAGGTGGCTGCATTCAACCTGGGCCAGGAGAAACAAGGATCACACCTAGCTTCCCGCAGCGAAGTGTAAGATGGAAACCTGTGCAAGATACGCCGAGGGCTCCCTGTGGTAAGCGATTCTGGCGCAGCGGGCCCCGTCGTAGAATCGGATTTCCTATTCTTGGACCCCCTTGGGGCTCTCTTGGGGGTCTCTTGGGGGTCTCTTGGGGCTCTCTTGGCGATCTTTTGGGGAGTCTTGGGGCCCTCTTGGAGCTCTTTTGGAGGGTCTGGGAGGCCTTTTGGGGCCGTCTTGGACCCCTTCGCTCAAAAAGAATGGAAATTACACAGTAGTTGCGTCCCCGAAGCAATAAACCCTCGTAAATTACGCAATCCTCGCGTCCCCGAAGCCATAAACCTTCGCAAAGCACGCTACATTCGCATTGCCGAAGCCAAAAGTGCTCCAGGACGCCCGAAGATGGTTCCAAGACGGCCCAAGAGGGCACGACGAGGCCCCAAGAGCGCTCCAAGAGGCCTCCCGAGAGAGCCCCAAGATGTCAACATCATAATTTGTACGACGGTTTTTGACCTTCTCGCATGTTAAATGTTCGGCTTTCCGACGCTCAAAGACGGCTCAAGAAGCTCACAAGGCCGCCTCAAGATCGCCCAAGCCGCCTCCAAGAGGGCCCCAAGACGGCCAAAGAGGGCTCCAAGATAGCCCAAGAAGGGCTCAAGACGGCCCAAGAGGGCCCCAAGACGGCCCCAAGAGAGGCTTAAGCAGGGGACCACGAACCGAACATTCGATAGTTGTGCCCCGAGAAGCCCCCAGGAGGCCCCGAGAAGCTGTCCAGAGGCCCCAAGAGGCTCCCAAGACGCGCCCAAGAGGCCTCCAAGAAGCCCAAAAGATACCCCACGAGGCCCCAGGAGGCCCCCAAGAGGCGCCAAATCTGCCTTCAAGAGGCCCCCGGGAGGCTCCCCACGACACCCCAACACATTTACACGAGGCCTCAGCCCCACAACACAGGCGCACGGTGGCGGGATGGGCCGAAGGCCACTAGGATCCGCCGCCCATTGTTGGCTTGCCACAGGGGTGCCCGGCGTGCTGAACCCTCTCGGTTTTGGTTTTGGCTCTTTTCCAAAAGAACGAGTGTGGGTCTGGTGATCGTTTCGGCGCCCTTCTTCGGCAGGGGGAAAAAGAAAAAAACTGGAACCGGCACCAGAACCAGAACAGGAACCGGAACCGGAAACATAACGGAAGAGGGCCGAAAGAAGACAAACCCAAACCGGAACCAACACTGGAACCAAAACCACAACCGGGACCTCAGGGGCCCTCCGAACCAAACAAAAAGAAAGAAACCGGAAGCGGAACTGGAACCGTGACCTAAAAGGCCTTCTTCGGTACTCGGAAGAAGAAGGAAACGGGAATCGGAACCGGAACCAGAACCAGAACCAAAATCTGAGGCGTCCCTGGGCAAAAAAAAGAAGAAGGAAACCGGAACCAGAACCAGAACCAGAAACAAAATCTGAAGCGTCCCTGGGCACAAAAAAAAGAAAACCAGAACCAGAACTGGAACTGGAACCAGAACCGTGACCTGAAGGGTCATTTATGGGACCCCGAGGAAGAAGGAAACTGGAACCAACACTAGAATCGGAACCGAAACCGTGACTTGGAAAATCTGGGACCCCGAAGAAGAATAAAACCGGAACCGGAACCGGAACCAAAACCGTGACCTGGAAGGTCTTCTTTGGGACCCCGAAGAAGAAGGAAACCGGAACCGGAACCAAAACCGGAACCAAAACCGCGACTGAGGAGGTCTTCTTTGGGACCCCAAAGAAGAAAGAAACAGGAACTGGAACTGGAATCGGAACCAAAACCGTGACCTTGAAAGTCTTCTTTGGGACCCCGAAGAAGAAAGAAACCGGAACTGGAACCGGAACCAGACGCAGAACCGTGACCTTGAAGGTCTTCTTTGAGAACCCGAAGAAGAAGGAAACCGGAACCGGAACCAAAACCGGAACCGCGACTGAGGGGGTCTTCTGTGGGACCCCGAAGAGAAAGGAAACCGGAACTGGAACTGGAACAAGAACCAAAACCGTGTCTCCTTTGGGACCCCGAACAGGAAAGAAACGGGAACTGGAACTGGAATCGGAACCAAAACCGTGACCTTGAAGGTCTTCTTTGGGACCCCGAGGAAAGGAAACCAAGACGTGAACCGGAACCAAAACCGTAACTTGGGGGGGACCCGAAGAAGAAAGAAACCGGAACCGGAACCATAACCAAAACCGTAACTTGGGGGGGTCTTTGGGACCCCGAAGAACAAAGAAACCAGAGCCAGAACCAGAACCGGAACCAAAACCAGAACCGGAACCAAACCAGAACCGGAAACAGAACCGGAGCCAGAACCGCAATCGTGACCAGGACTGGCTTTGGTTCTGGTCGTTTGGCGGTGTTATTATTAGGTAGTCTTCATAATGCAAACATGTATTCCGACCGCGACCAAGATCAGGATTGGTTCTGGTCGCGATCGCGGACTGGCATGTTTATTGAGCTATTGCAATAATGTACCCCGACCGCGCCCAGCCCGAGACCAAGACTGATACTGGTCACGGTCTCCGGGCGGCATTCTCCTGTTAGTGCACCCCGACCGCGACCAGAGTCTGGCAACACAGAGTTGGCTTAATTTACTTTGGCGGTGAAGCATGCCTAGCAGAGGGGGGGCTAGTGGAACAAAGGGCCGCGTCCAGCACCAAGGAACTTGTTTAAACTCACGTGTTAATCAGCCTTGGGGAGGGGCATTGCCTAGCAGAGGGTGCTGCAACGCACAGGGCCCGTCTAGCACCAAGGATGATTTGTTTTTGTCAGCTTGGGGAGGGGCCTTGCCTAGCAGAGGGTGCTGCACCACACAGGGGCACGTCCAACACCAAGGATGCTTATTGAATCAGCTTGGAGCTGGGCTTTGCCTAGCAGAGGGTGCTGTAACACACAAGGGCACGTAATACACCAAGGATATTTAGGATGTTAAGAAATCAGCTTGGGCCTTGCCTAGCAGAGGGTGCTGCACCACACAGGGGCACGTAACACACCAAGGATGCTGTTTTAATCAGCTTGGAGTTGGGCCTTGCCTAGCAGAGGGTGCTGCACCACACAAGGGCACGTGGTACACCAAGGATGTTTAGGATGTGAAGAAATCAGCTTAGGGAGGGGCCTTGCCTAGAAGAGGGTGCTGCGCCACAGCAGAGCACGTCTAGCACCAAGGTTTAGATATACATATATATATAGCAGATTGAGGGGGGGGGCCTAGCAGAGGGTGCCGCACCACACAGGGGCACGTCTAGCACCAAGGATGATTTGTTTTTGTCAGCTTGGGGAGGGGCCTTGCCTAGCAGAGGGTGCTGCACCACACAGGGGCACGTCTAACACCAAGGATGCTTTTTGAATCGGCTTGGAGTTAGGCCTTGCCTAGCAGATGGTGCTGCACCACACAAGGGCACGTAATACACCAGGGATGTTTAGAATGTTAAGAAATCAGCTTAGGGAGGGGCCTTGCCTAGCAGAGGGTGCTGCGCCACACAAGGGCACGTCTAGCACCAAGGATGTTCATTCTCTTTTTTACATAGATATTTATATATAATCAGATTGGAGGAGGGCCTGGCCTACCAGAGGGTGCTGCACCACACAGGGGCACGTCTAGCACCAAGGATGATTTGTTTTTGTCAGCTTGGGGAGGGGCCTTGCCTAGCAGAGGGTGCTGCACCACACAGGGGCACGTCCAACACCAAGGATGCTTATTGAATCAGCTTGGAGCTGGGCTTTGCCTAGCAGAGGGTGCTGCAACACACAAGGGCACGTAATACACCAAGGATATTTAGAATGTTAAGAGATCAGCTTGGGCCTTGCCTAGCAGAGGGTGCTGCGCCACAGCGGGGCACGTCTAGCCTCAAGGACGTTTGTTCCTCTCTGTGTTACATAGACGGCTATATATATACACATATATACATATATCTATATAATCAGATTGGAGGAGGGCCTGGCCTAGCAGAGGGTGCTGCACCACACAGGGGCACGTCTGACACCAAAGATCATAGCTTTAATCAGCTTGGGAAGGAGCCTTGTGTAGCAGCGGGCGCTGCACCTCACAGGGGCGCGTCTGGCACCAAGGATGTTTATTTTTACCAGCTCGGGGAGGGGCCTTGCCTAGCAGAGGGTGCTGCACCACACAGCGGCACGAAGGATGCTTTTTGAATCAACTTGGAGTTGGGCCTTGTCTAGCAGAGGATGCTGCACCACACAAGGGCACGTGGTACACCGAGGATTCTTGGGAGGTTCAATAATCAGGTTAGGGAAGGGTCTGGCCTAGCAAAGGGTGCTGCGCCACACAGGGGCACGTCTAGCACCAAGGATGTTTTGTCCATCAGCTTGGGGAGGGGCCTTGCCTAGCGGAGGGTGTTGCACCACGCAGGGGCACGTCTAGCACCAAGGATGCTTTGTTCATCCCGGGAGGTCCCAAGAGTGTCCCCAGAGGCTCCCAAGATGGCCCCTCCTCATCCTCCCATTCCTCCTCCTCCTCCTCCTCCTCCACCACCACCACCTCCTCCTCCTCCTCCTCCTCCTCCTTCCTCCTCCTCCTCCTCCTTCCTCCTTTTCCTCCTCCTCCTCTTCCTCCTCCTCCTCCTCCTCCTCCTCCTCCTCCTCCTGATCTTCCCCGCCATCCTTCCCCAAGTGTTCCCCGAAGGGTTTCGCATCGGCTGGGGGAACACATGGTCCGATAGCTTGGCAGAGCTCTTGCCACAACGCTCGGCCACATGGGCGATTCTAGAAGGCAGGGGGCGGCGGTGATTCGCCGTGGGCGTCTTTGATCCGCCGCCCCCTGTTGATGTATCACAACGGTGCCCGGCGCACTGGATTTCTTGCGATTTGGTTTTGGTTATTTTCCTAAAGGACTCCCCCATGGGGCTTCTGCCCGTCCCGCTGGCCACACGAAAGGGACCGCAATCGCGCACAACGTCCGCAAAAAGTGCTCCAAGACGGCTCAAGATAGCCTCCGAGATTCCTCCAGGACTGCCAAAGATGCAACCAAGACGGCCTCAGATAGCCTCCGGATGCCCTGAAACGGCCCAAGAGGCACCCAAGAGGCCTACAAGACGGCCCAAAAGGCCTCCAAGAGGGCCTCCAGGAAGGCTCGAAGAGGTCACAATCCGCCGACCCCTTGGGGTTCATCGGCGTGTGAGATCTTCCCCCTCCCCAAACCCCTCCCCCGGGAGCCCGGTCCGGTCGATTTGGAGGAGGGGGGTGTCTGTTCAAATTCCCCGTTCCCCCGGTTCCCCCAGTTCCCCCGGGGGGTCATCCGCTCCCGAAAATCCTGCAGGGACTCCTCCGGTGGCCTCGACATGGCCCCGGGACGCACCACGACAGCTCAAGAGGACCTCCACGTGGCCTTCGGTGGCTCCAAGATTCCCCAATACGGGCTCAAGACAGCCCACGATGCCTCCAAGACGCTCCAAGAGGCCCCGACGGGGCGCTCCAAGAAGGTCCAAAGCAGCGAAAATCATTGATTTTCCATTTGGAAACGTACATTTTTAGCATCGACGACTTTTCAGCCTGCACGGAGTTCCAGCCAGTCTAAGAGGCCCCCAAGGCCACCCCATGACGTCCCAAAAGGGTCCCAAAAGGCGCCCAAGACGGCCCAAAACGGCGCCAAGACGGCCCCAGAGGCTCCCGAATCGGCCCAAAAGAATCCCAAGACGGCTCCTAGCGGCGGAGCCCGAACCGAAAATCCGAGCCCTCCGCTCCCACCTGGCCCTGGGACACCCCACGAGCCGCCCAAGGTCCCATGAGACCCCCAAAAGACCTCCTAAAAGCGTCCGAGAGGCCCAAAAGAGGCCCCAAGAGGTCCCAAAACGGCTATCAGTGAACTTCGAAACTACCTCCACGAAGCCTGCGAGATGCCTCCCCAGAGATCCCAGCGAACATCGCACAAGCCTCAGACCCACATTCCGGGCACGGTGGCGTGACATGCCGACTGAAAGTAGATCGTGTTTCCAGTTCCTCTCCCTCCTCCTCTTCAGCACCCTTCTCCTCCCTCATCCCTCCGCCCTCCTCTTCCTCTCCTTCCCTCTTGCATCCTCTCTTCCTTTCCCTCATCCTCTTTCCCCAGCCTTGCCCTCCTCCCCCCCATCCTCCTTCCTCCACCTACCCCTAAGTCCCGGCGGTCAGATTCCTCGCAACTTCCGTTGCTTGCCGCCGTGCTCGTCACTTGCCTCCGACGCATTTAAGGGGTCGGCGGATGTGGCGTAAGCCTGAAGAATTACTGATATTCCTTAATTGTTTGACGGATTTTGTCATTTGCGCCGTTTCGGCCTTCAGACGGGCCAAGACGGCCCAAGAGGCCCCCAAGATCGCCCAAGAGGCTTCCAAGATGGCCCGAAGACGGCCCAAGAAGCCCCCAAGACGGGCCTCACCAAAGGACCCCAAGACGGCCCAAGATGGCAGGCTCCCAGAAAGCTCCCAGGAGGCCCCAAGAGTGCCCCCAGAGACTCCCCACATGCCCCCTCCTCATCCTCCGCCTCCTCCTCCTCCTCCTCCTCCTCCTCATCCTCCTCCTCCACCTCCTGATCTTCCCCGCCATCCTCCCCCAAGTGTTCCCCGAAGGTTTTCACAACGGCTGGGGGAACACATGGTTCCGGGTGACCCAAAAGGGGGTCCAGCGACAATGGGGTGGTGCAATAGATTTGGTGCAATAGATTTGTGGGGTTGCAATACATCTGGGACGTGCAATACATTCCGGGGCGCAAATGTATTACTGGATTTTCGCGTGCAATACATTACTTGCAATGCAATGCAATGCATTATGATATATCCCCTTATGACAGAGAGGGGGCCAGCGGCAGGGGGCGAAGCCCTTACGGATATGATCAAGAACTTGTTGGCGTTCATCAGAACGAGGAAGCTGGTGGCGCTGATGCGGCTCTGCGCCCAGACGCTGACGTAGCTCGCACCGACGCCGACGGCGCAGCTGAGGACTACCCAGACGCGCCCCGTCGCCTGGCAGTGGAGAGGGAACGAGGAGAGGCTAGGAGGACGAGGAATAGACACATGAAGGCCTGGCGGCGAGGCACACGTCGGCGGCGCGCCGAGGGGAGAAGTAAGAGTGGGCAGGCCTTTTCAGAAGGCGGCGGGGCTTATCACAGGCCCTTCCGCCTTCTGAGAAGCCCCCATATAGCTTCGGAAAAACCTCCCAAAGCCTCTCAGAAGGCCGACAGGTTTCGGAGCCTTCTGAGAAAGCCCGCCCCGTGTGCATCTCCCCCGGGGCACGCCGCCGAATGGCCCCCCCTGGCGGCGAGGCCCGACGCCGACCTGTCCCCAAATCTGGCCTCAAGCGGTCCGGCTCTTCTGAGACTGCGCCTCCAGAGGCCTGCCTAACAGGGTCGGAAGATAGAGCCGCATCGCCGATGCAACAGCGACGTCGACGTGGAGAACAACGGGCTCCACATCGAACCGCATCGCTGATGCGGCGCAATCCTCCGACCCCATCTACTCGGACCCCATCTGGGAGGCGTACAGCCTCCAAAGGCCCTTGTCTGAGCCCCCTGGGACCCACAGGACTCAGCGCGCCACGCAAACAACAACAACAACAACAACAACAACAACAACAACAACAACAAAAACAATAACAACAACAACAACCACAACAACAACAACAACAACAACAACAACAACAACAACAACAACAACAACAACAACAACAACAACAACAACAACAACAACAACAACAACGACGACGACGACGACGACAACAACGACAACGACAACGACAACGACAACGACAACGACAACGACAACAACAATCATTTTAAGACTGTTCGCCCTTATATGCTCGAGTGTCCAAAAACGCGTATTCCCCAAAACCTCGATACCCGCCCTCTTCGTCTTCGATCGTACCCCTTTAGGGGGGTATACCTTTCTTCCCTGCAGGCCGGGCCCTGGCAAGCGGCGGGGCGGCCGCGGACCGTCGGCCTGGCCAGCGGCAGCGCTGATCGGCGGGGCGGCCGCGGACCGTCGACCCGACCCGAAGAGGGACGGACAGGGGACCAACCACGACGACGACGACGACGACGACGACGACGTCGAAGACGACGACGACGACGACGACGACGACGGCGACGACGAGCGAAAGCGAGAGCGAGAGAGAACGACAGCAGGGCCACGAAGGGCACGAAGTAGGCCACGAAGGGCGACAGCGGGGACACGAAGGGAATGCGTGAGCGCGAACGAACGGGGGCCACGAAGTGCAGATAATGCGGGGCCACAAAAGGCAACTATGGGGCCACTGAGGGTAGCAACTGGGCCACGTAGGACAGAGGGGGGCACAAATGGCGACAGCGGGGCCACGAAGGGCATGCACATGGGGCCACAATGAGCGCGACTCCTGGGTGCCTGGGTGTCGGGAGCGCGGCGCTTGGGCAAATTGCAGGAAATTCCAACGCAAGGCCATTCTTCAGTAAGTTGGTAGCAAGTCTCCAGCGAGAGCGCGACTCCAGAGCGCTGGGAGAGCGATTCCTGAATAAATTGTAAGGAAGTCCCAAGCGAGAGCGCCATTCCTGAATTACCCCAGTGCGACCCTACCTAGAAGTTGGAGCCCCTAGGAAAGCAGCATTAGTTGCTATGCTATGCTATGCTATGCCATGCCATGCTATGCTGCGCTATGATATGCTATAGTATGCTATGATCTGCTGCGCTGTGTTATGCTATGCTATGTTAAGCTAAGCTATGCTATGTCATGCTGCGCTGTGCTATGCTGAGCTATGCTATGCGATGCTATGCTAAGCTGCGCTATGCTAAGCTGCACTATGCTATGCTATGTTATGTTATGCTATGATATGCTGCGCTATACTATGCTATGCTACGCTATGATTGGCTATGTTATGCTATGCTGTGCTATGCTCTGCTATGCTATGCTATGCTGCGCTGTGCTATGCTGCCATGTGCCGTGCTGCGCTATGATATGCTATGATATGATATGCTGCGCTATGCTATGCTATGCTGGGCTATGCTATGATATGCTATGCTGCGCTATGCTATGCTACGCTATACTATGCTATGCTGTGCTCTGCTATGCTAAAGCTCAGCGAAACTAAGATGAAGGTAAGCTAAGCTAAGATAATCCTGAGCTAAGATGAAGCTAAGCTAAGCTAAGATGAAATAAGCTAAGCTAAGATGAGATAAGCAACGCTAAGCTAAGGGGACGTAACTGGGGGAACCGCGGGGCGGATGCCGGGGGAACCGCCTGGGGAGCTTTCAACTGCCCGGCCCTTTAAGAGAACACAGTAAGAACCCTTCTAGGCAGCGCCTAGGTAGGGAATAAAATGAGAGGAAGTCTCGGGCGGGAGCGGGGGTCTTGGCTAAATTGTAAGGAAGTCTCAGGCGGGAGCCGTTGTTGTTGTAACCCGGGGCCCAGGGGCCCAGTTTGACCAGGAAGACTTTCCCTGTCCAAAAACAGGGTGCGAGCGTCGAGGGGCACACTTTGATTGAGAAAAACAGTATGCACCGGTGGGGGGGATCAACAATAATTATTCTTCAGAAATGAGAATTCAACAACAACAACAACAACAACAACAACAATCATTTTACCCGAACGCTCAGTGTTCTCCCCAGTGCCAGGGTTTCTTGCGACACCAGCCAATACCCCCACTTCGTGGGGGGGCCGTTCAAGCTCTACCAAATATCCAAACGACTCTTCGAGACCACCCACACCCAGCTTCCCGCCCTATGACGTTGGGACACTTCACTTCGTGGCGTGCGGACGACCCTGGCTACTACACTGGCGTGGGGTACACACCCACAGAGGTTGATCACATCTGTTACATATGATGTGGTACACGGTACACGTGAGATGGTACGCAGTGCCAAGATAGTTGGTCACATTTTTGGGGCAAATTCGTGGGGATGCGATTACAGAAGTACATGTGTTACACTGATGTTATACAGTCCCAAGGATGACGCATGCATTGCTCATAGACTCATGGGGGGGAAGCCTCCTGGCGCGGTTTGGGGTCCACTTGAGAGCCTTTGGGGGGCTCCTTGGAACCATCTTGGGGCCTCTTGGGGGCTTATTGGACCCTCACGGCGGACTCTTGGGGCCTCTAGAACGCCTCCTGGGGCCATCTTGGGGGTCTCTTGGAGCCACCTTGGAGCCTCTCTGGAACCTCTTGGGGGCCTCTTGGAGTCCTCTTGAAGCCTCTTGGGACCATCTTGGGCGCCTCTTTGGGCCTCATGGACGCCTCTTGGGGCCATCTTGCGCGCCTGTTGGGGCCATCTTGGGTTTTAAAGATTCATCAAGAGACCGCGAATGGATTTCGAGATTTTTCGGATGAGAAAGTAGTGCGTTTTCATATGTTTTCTGAACATCGCATCTTGAAATTATTGAAAACCCATTGTGTTTGGCAGGATTTCGACATGCGCGCGCGGCGGCCGCGCGCATGTGCACTTCGTCTCATTTTTTGCAAGGGATGGTGGCCCTCGCAGGCGCGCAACCGTTGTTGGAGAAGTTCAAAGCACCTGAAGAAGTAGCACGCAAAGACCCTTTTGACAGAAATGTTTAAAAAGTGGTGTGTTTCCTATGAATCCGCAAGAGCGCGCGGAAGGACATTTTGACATTTTTTCTTAAAAAACCATTGGGTTTTTGATGTTTTTATGTTAAAATCGCTACGAAACCTAAGGTTTTGGAAGGATTTCGTCTTGCGCGCACGAATGTCCACTTTACCTTATTTTTTGCAAGGGATTCTTGCAATTTGATCAAGTAAAAACAAGAATTTTCATTTTCTATTGTTTTTTGCAAGGGAAAACGAGCGTCAACAAAAAACCGGATCCGGAGCTCATCCACTTTTCTGAAGCTTTCGCGAAAAAATGATGAAAATGTAGCTGCGGCCTAGGCGCGGCGCAGAGGTCGCGCACCAGGGGTCCCAACAATAATAATTCTTTAGAAGGAATAATGTTCAACAACAAGAACAAAAAACATCCGCGCGTGAGTGCCCCATGGTCCCGGACCTCGTTCCCCGCCTTCTTCCCTACGGCGGAACCGCGCGTCTGTGCCCCATTGGCCAGTTGGGACCCCCCCCCCAGCAACAAGCAACTAGCAACCAGCAACCAGCAACCTGGGGTTCCGTTCCCTGCTCCGCTGGCGAATTTGCTCGCTTAAGGGTGTGGACTCATCCTCCATGCCATTTTGCCGTGTCCTCACCAGCGAAGGTCCGGAATCTACGGAGCCAGATCGGATCCTTAGGGGTGGATGCAGCTCTCATAGAATCCTTTTTCTGGTGGATCCAGCTCTACTACAAACCTATTAGTTGTGGATCCACCTCTACTACAATCCTATTACTGGTGGATCCAGCTCTAATACAGTCCTTTTACTGGTGTATCCACCTCAACTACAATCCTATTGGTGGTGGTGGATCCACCTCCTCTACAATCCTAGTGGTGGTGGATCCACCTCTACTACAAACCTATCAATGGTGAATTCACCTCTACTACAATCCTCGTGGTGGTGGATCCACCTTCTCATACGAACCTATCATTAGAGGATCCACCTCTATTACAATCCTAATGGTGGTGGATCCACCTCTACTACGAACCTATTTGTGGTGGATCCAGTTCTGATGGATTCCTACTAGTGGTGGATCCGGCTCTGATGGAATCCTATTGGTGGTGGATCCAGCTGTGAAAGAATCCGATTGGCGGTGGATCAAGCTGTATTAGGGCCCTATCACTGGTGAATGCAGCTCTGCTAGAATCCTATTAGGACTGGATCCGGCTCTCATAGAATCCGATTAGGAGTGGATCCAGCTGTGATAGAATCCTGTTAGGAGTGGACCCAGCTGTGATAGAATCCTATTAGTAGTGAATCCAGCTCAGTAATGGACCCAGTTCTGATAGAATCCTGTTAGGAATGGATCCAGCTCTGATAGAATCCGATTAGTAGTGGATCCAGCTCTGATAGAAACCTGTTCGGAGTGGATCCAGCTCTGAGAGAATCCTAGTAGGAGTGG